GGCCCTCCCAGAAATTAAAGAAGTTTACCCCGCTGCATTAAGACTGAGCATGGCATCCCACCATAGGGAATGGGCTCCAACAAAGTAGCTCAATGCACCGGGGATGGATCCTGGTACCGCTGAACTACAAACATATGTCACTGAATATAATTTTATTTCTGTGCATCCTATAGTAATGTGCATGTTCTCTTGCAGGGATGTCAAACCTGCTCTAACAGGATGTGGCTCTAACAGGGATAAACCCTACTTTCCTTTTTCCGTCCTCTCCTTGGTCAGGCCTCTTTGAGGCAACCCTGGCCAGCACACAGCTCAGTGACCAACCTTCTCCAAAGAAAGGCCCTCCCAGAAATTAAAGAAGTTTATGAGTGAGATCAGGAACTGTGGGGGAAAGGCTGTACAAATAACGACACGAAAGTGTGGATGCAGCTATTAAACAGTGCATAAGTCATAAAAGTGAAATCCTTCACCTCTAAGAGTGCAAGAGCCAGAGCGAGGATACAAGGATACAAGGAAGTAGTGTCTTGTGCACTCACAGTGGGCGTGACAGCACACGCAGACCTCAGGAGGGGACAGGGAGAGTGTGAAGTCTCACCTTTAGCGGAGAAACTGCTGGCAACTAATAGCTTCCGGAAGAGGGAGAGGTGATTTTCGCTAAGAGGCTGGCCCCTAAGTTGATCATGTTTGAGGGGAAGGTTGCCCATCTAAGGGTATTCAGGCAGCCCAAACTAGTATGAAAGAATTGAAATTTAGTATTAAAGAATTTAAAACTAAAAAAAAAAAATAGGATACAAAGTTGCAAAGGTAGGAAAAGGGGAGTAGATCTCGGAAGAGTTGGGGGTGAATATCATCAAAACATACATATGTAAATCTCAAAGAACGAATAAAGTTAATTTTAACAATGACATTCCTTTTAAAAGGGATAAATAAAAGAATATAATGCAAAAAGGACAAAAAACAATGAAAATCAATAAAAACTGAAAACGACTTAATACTTTAAAATCCCTATGCTTGAAAATCCACATCTGTCTGACCTGGTTCAGCATCACGTTTAATCATTAGCCACTATGCTGCCATTCAATTGGTTGGGTCTTCCCTTCTCCCCAAGAGTTAATGAATATTTTTCAGGTAAAATATCTACATTAGTATATTAAGCATTAAATTCGTCTATAATTCTAGACTTCACTCAAACGCAATGGAGCTTGTAAAAATACTTTCACGGGCCGCGCCCGGTCCAGTTCCTCCCACTGCAATAGCACGAACATCCCAATAGATGGCGGCATGAGCTCATCACAGAGGCAGCTGCAGCGCATGGCACTTACTCCCAGAGAGACCTTCTGGAAAGTTGGCCACACACTTCAAACCGTGTAGATGACACGGTGCCCACAGTCCTGCCTTCCAAGAAGCTCCTAAGTGATTTCGTGTGAGTGACTGAGCTCAGTTACTGGATGGTTATGGGGAAACATCCGTAGAGGGAACGACTTCTGCGCCAGTAAAAACCGTGGATGGACTGTTACAAAGCGCCCCGTAAGGTCCTTGATGATGCTGATGGAAAAGTAATATGAATTCCTCATATTCGGTGAGAAAATACATCCTTCTATATTACAGACAGACTTTTTAGGAGGTTGCTGCTTGATATTTTATATACGTCCTGAAGTTTTCCTTTGTATTATTTTTAATCAGAGAGGAAAATCCTGCTAATCAATCAATCTGAAAACACGATTGCTAGAACCTTCTACAAAATGCTTCATGAGACATAAGAATTGTCCAATCATCATTCTAGATGGGTTGGGTCATAGCTTAGACTCTGTGAAGAAGACTTTATCTTCCTTTACTGTGAAATAAAGACCCAGTTTTTCCTTTGCAAGTTTAAGAAAGAAAGCCCGTATCGATGTGCATTTATATATCACATCAGCGGAGTCCGCACATACTCAGGGGCTTTTCTCATAAGACCTTGAAAGGGCCCTAGAAAAATCTATTTGAAATATAAAAAATAACACCCGTTTAAAAAGCAGCAATAGCAACACCCCGAAGCAGTATCTTACTTGACCCTCATTCTTTCTGGAAAGTCTTTTCTGGCTAAAGGATGGGCTCCCAGGAGAGGAATCTAGACAACAGATTAAAGTCGCTTTGAAATAAGATCCATGCCATGTTTTTGTGGTTGCTTGAGTTTCTGGCACTAGGAACATCCACAAAACAAATGGCAAATTATCAGGACTCTTTATTCAGGGGCCTACCTATGTACTAAAACCTCCAAAAATTTGCATAGCAATAAATACTGATTGCACAACAGACTCCTGGCTAGCTTAGGAAACCTAGAGAATTGCTAGCAGATTGCTGCTGCTTTTCTGTATTAAGCAATCATGCTCACTGACTGTAGAAATCACTATTAGAGTTAAGCATCCAGTTAATGGGAGGGAGAACTGGAATTAGATAGAGGCAGATGGTACAAAACCCACCAAGCGCCCACGTGCAAAGGAAGGCACATGGGGACAGGGTGGGGAAGAAGTGGCCTCCGGTGACAATCATTCCACACTTCAGATGCGTTCTCACTGAGAACGGAAGTTATTTTTCAAAAATGAGTCAGACTTGTGTCATGATATTTGAAAAAAACACATTCACGAACCACGGGGTGGGGAGAATCTTTTGAAAGAATTGTATAACGTTCTTTCATTATGCTGTCCATTTAAATAATAAGAGCAGTTGACAGGTGAAGCAGGAAACGGAAGAAAAGGTTAAATCCAGCTTAGTCAGGGCTGGGGGGCGGGTAACATGCTCAGATGTAGAACTATTGCCTAGCATGTGAGAAGTTCCGAGGACCAAACAAAACCAACCCAAATAACCAGCCAAAGGAACAACAAACCAAGTTGGCCATGCTTATGTTCCGCTCGCCCTAGATTTTACAATTTAACATTCCAATGGTTTAAACATCTTTGAATTTATGGGTGGTAGGTATAGGAACATACATGTATGAGCATATAGTCATATATGAGCAGTGCATGCATTTTCCTCAAATAAAGACATATCTACATTGAGACAGAAAATATGACCAGACTCCCGAAGATACTATGGCCCCCTTCTAGTTTTCTAAGGGCAGTGGTTACCCTGACTTCACACAGCCTCTCTTACCTTTGCTTACATTCATACCTTATGTAGAAGGAGCTACATAGCAACGATAGTTTTTTTGCATTTGGCTTCTTTTGCAGGTTATTGCATTAACAGCCACTTACCCTTCATGGATAGCTGTTAATTGTCCTCATTACACACATGATTTTTTGCGTGACTATACCATGGTTTACAATCAGCAGACAGATGGTTGGCCTCCCATTTTAAATAACGCTGCTTATAGCAATTTTTCCAGTCTCTTGATAAATACCACTACCCTTTTCTTATTGGCTCTCTCCCAAGGAATGGAACTGGGGTGGGGCTGGGGGTAGGTACACGTGCTTAACTTTTGTCAATGTATTAAACATCATCCTTCCTTCCTCTTTTTCTTTCTTGCCTTCCTTCCTCTTTCCTCCCCTCTCTGTTCCTTTTTTTTTCCTTCTGTGCTGAGGACAGGACCCAGAGCCACATCCCTGCTAGGCATGAACCACTGAGAACACTGTCAACACCCCATCTTAAACCCCTGACGCCCTGAAGTCAAGATTAGTGTTCTTTTAACATCACCACGCCCTTAATAAGGAGGTCTTTGCAATCATCAGGATTCCCCTGGAAAAGGGGAAATAAATTAGGCTCAGTGACAAATAACCTAAGGAAAACTAGTGATCCTTCGAATTTTTTTTTCTCATAACCACAAAAAGTGAGTTTCAAACTAATGTGAAGAAACTCTAAGCATTGCCTTGGTGCTTCCATAAACAATGCAAGTCATTTTGTCACTGCATGTTTTTAAAGGGCTCTATACAACATGGGAGAACTGCACAGCCCAGAACCCTTCAGGGACCGCATCAAAAGGCTGGCCCATCTCCTGCCTTCCCTCCTCCTGCTGATGCTGCCTGTGAGGAAGCTTAGCAGCCATTGGCTACTGGAAAGCTGCTCTGCCTCAAGCACAAGCCAGAGAAACAGCTTCCCAGAGGTGTGCTGACACTACAGGGGAGGCCGGGCTGCGGCAAGCGGGGGACCTCGGACTCGCCCCAAGTGGGCCTAAGTGATGAGTGGGCCTAGTCTAAGAACTGACATTTCCCAGGGGAAGTCAGAGGGTGGAAGTGACCACAGGAGAAGGGCTACAGAGATTTGAAGCTTTGAACAGCTTTGAAGTTGGAGGAAGGGACCTATGGGCCAGTAAATGTGAGTAGCTCTCGTGCTTGGGGAAGCAGACAAATCCTTCCTTGGAGCTTCCAGAAAGGAACTCAGGCTGCCTGACACCTTTGGTTGTTTCCATAAGTTTTCTCAGGGATCTTTGGACCTTCAGAGCTTGAGGTTCCGCGATCCTTGTTAACTTTGTGATAGCCATAAAAAAATAATGCAATTAAAAACAAAAAAAAAAAAAAAAAAAAAAAAAAAAAAGCCAAAGCTAGAAGCCCTCCTAGGCCGATTCCAGAGCAGCAGATCTGAAAATCCACCCATTGTGAGCCCAGGAGCTCCTCACCAGCTCCTGGAGACGAGGGCTCGAACACACTGGAGGAGTCGCTGTACGTGTTGGAGGCTTGCTCAGAGAGCTTCTTTTTACCACTTCCCTCCGACGATTTGTGCGATTTCTTCTTGTTTTTCACCAAGATTTTATACATTAAATCCATAGGGCTTGGAAGAGGTACCCCAGATTCCAGCTGTGTAAAAGAAAGCACGGCATTTAGAAATACTCTCCCCCAAATATTAGTTAGTAACCACGAATGCTATCACACTTCGCTAATTGACTTTCACATCTTAGCCAATTAGCACATATGCATATTTGCAACATTTCCCCATGAATGTTGCTTTCATGTTATTTTATATGTTTTAATTATGCCAGGATTTATGCTGAAAATTGGCGAAGTCCAACTTGTTTATATTTTTCCCATCAAGAAGAAGATAAACAATAGTTAACTGCTCTTTAAAAAAAAAAAGAAGCAAACAAACAACAACAAAACGGTCCCCTCCTTTCAGCGATCTCTCCACACCCACCACACAGCTTTGGGTCCCACAGCCTCTAGACTGTCATTTACTGTGTCCAACACAGTTCATGCAATTGTTGTAATTGTGCCCTACATTTTGTTTGTTTGTTTTTTAAATAAGAGATGTGTTAAAGCACTGAGCTCATTTTCCACAATAAAACTACAACAGTAAGACCATAGAAATGTACTGGTAGATTTGATGGACTGAACCTGGACTTTTAGGCATTTTCTGACGGACTGTTGAAGTCCAGCCAGACTTGCCGCAGACCTGTAAGTCATCTCTGACCTGAATCTTCTGCGAACGTCCTGATATTTGATAGGAAGAATCAATGACGCTGTGCAAAAATTTTCGATCAAGTCACCTTGTCAGACACAGCTTTATGGACAGCAGACTCTCATGTTGATTTTAGTTGGGTTTTGGCCTCAGTCAAGAGGGATAACAGGATTTTAGGTCTCCTTCTAGCCCTGAGATTCAAGCTGTCTTATTACTGGAGGCTTATTTCACTGTTGCAAGTTTGCTCACATAATGGGAAATCAATTTCCCATGAGAAGGTTAGGAGTTACTCTATCAGGGAACGTGTGCAAGACACGAGATAGGTTTATTTTTAGACAATCTTTTGAAGTCCCATAAGCTCGCCCTCTGGTCTTTGATTGCCATGAGTCTGGGGACCGGCGTGAACTCACTTAACAACACGCAGACACTGGGACAAAGTGTCCAGGAGGAAGTGGCTACTTTAGGTTATGGCTGCTCTTTCCCTTTCTGAACAGGGTTGTGGCTGCTCCTAGTCCCCTGGGGGGCGTCCCCTTACTACACTCAGAGGTCATAAGGAGATGAAGTTCTTCTGGTGTTACAAGCTACAGACTCTTAAAGACTGAGTTCGGGGGCCTGAAGCAGGATGTCCAGTGACTTACAGCTCCAAGCCTGGAGAGCCAGGGTTCTAATGATCCAGGCTTAAGAAGCTAATGATTTACGGCTGGAGATCATAGTGTTGGGCTTTAACCATCAGCAGCCTGGATCTGGGCAGCTGTATTCACCCTTAGCCTCTTGCAGCAGTGACCAGCAGCAGGGTGTAGGGTCTACTTGCCTTCTAACTCCCCAAAGAGTTTAGGGTGTCAGGGTCCTGAGCACATAGAAATCCTAACATTACCTGTTGGGACACTGGGAACTTAAGGCTTAGCTTCTTTTGCAATTTCTTCTATCAGATGGGTCTCAGTTTCCCTTTCCCAGCTCTTTCCAGTTAACTGTGTCTCTAGCCCCTTTGGCCCTGCCCCGGGTCACTCTTTGGAATCCCACTGTCAACCCTGTGATGCTGTTCTCCTGCCTCTCCCATTAGTTCCTCCTCTTCCAGTGCCCAGTTCAGTCACCTGCCGAGTAAGAGCAAAGCAGGCAGGACTCATACTGCAACGCCAGGGGGCAGCACAGGAGGGTGTCTCTGGACCAAGTCATAGGTAGCGTCATAGGTAGCTAGACAAGCTTGTTTCTACAGTGGCAAAGGGGGCGTGGCAGGAGTGTCTGCACCCATCCCAGCACAGAACCCCACAGCAGTTAAGGACTGGGCTTACACGAATCCCAAGCCTATGCTGAACCACCAGGAAGCAGGTTCCTCTCCGGCCCGGGTGCCTAGTGACAGCCAGAAGCCTGGTGCATGCTGTTAAACAGAGAGGCGGCTTCATGGAACTGGAGTTGTGCTCTGTCAACACGAAGCTTCTTTAAGGTGGGCATATAATGTTCAGGACTGTCAGGCTGCCCTAAGGGCAGTCCAGTTGGCTGACAATCCTCTGTTCAAGCATCAGGACACACGGAGAGGGGCTAATAACTGTTCATTTAAGGGAATCAAATCTACTCAGCTCCCCAGTATCTTGTCTACAGGTGGGGGAGGAAGTGATAAGAGAGGTGTTTACAAACAACGCTTAACAAGGATCTGCTCTTAGCAGAACACCGGTGGGGAGACTTGGGCATCTAATCCGCTCATGTCTGCAACAGAAGCCTGAGCGTGGCTTCCAAGGTGGATGCAAGTGGACAGCAGGTGGCAGAGGCAGGCTGAGAAATCAGTGCCGCCACCTTCGGCATTTATTTCAAAAGGGTGTGACAGAGATCCACGGGTGGGGGTTAGAGTCTTGTCCTCTTGGACTGTCCCTGTGAGTTGACTGTCATTGAAGAGGACATTGCAGTCCTGACTGTAACATTCTCTCTCAGAGGGAAGATGGAGACTTGATGAGATTCAGAAAGGAAACAGATCTCACACCCTGAGGAAGCTCTTGAAATCGACAAGATTCTCAAGGCCCCTTTCTAAGGTTACATAAGCAGTATGGACTGCTCGAGAGGAGAGATGGTTCATTCAGCCTGTCTAGTTGCCTGCCTATCCGTCAGGGAGCAGCAGGGATGGATCTTTCATGAGCTGATGCCCACGCTGGAGTAGGCTTTTGGATTCTGCGACTGCCTTCGAGTCAGCCACACTCCTGCAAGTTAACCCCGATAAACTCATGGTGCAACATGTTAGACTTTTGTGGAATTGCTACTTTGGCCTGTCCCCAGTAACTTATCTTGGGTAAAGAGACATTTGTTCCCCAAAACAAAACAAAACAAGAAACTTGCTGTGTCTCTCTAAGCAGAGACAGAGCGACAAGACTGGAAAAGAGAAGGAAACAGACACATACATTCTGACTTCAGCTGGGCACTGTGCTAGGGCCCCATGGATCAAACCATGTGGCTCATCTACCTACACAGAGCAAGTAGCTCGCCATCTATGACTAATAAGTGCTCTCCTTCAAGGGCATCACAGCTACTTACTGGGTATTTTTCCAGTGGCTCCATAAGGAGGGCATCACCAAAGATTAATCGGCAATACTCGGCCATCTTGGCTTGCTGCTTTGGGCTAAGAGCAAGAAGAAAAGAATTATGGGAATTTTTTTTCATAGAAGTTACTTTTCATTGTGAACACAGAAGGAGGTCAGCCAGGATGAATTTCCATCATTCTGAAATGTTATCCTGAATATCACACGCATGCCCGCACACATGCACACACACATACCACACATGTGCAACATGCAGGCTGGTTGTGTGGCGTTATTTTTAACAATCCAGATGAGGGCACAGCACAGCCTTTTCCAGTCTCTGGAGCAAAAAGATTCCTGAGTTAGAATCTTCGTTCCTTTTGTTGGATTCCCTGGTTTTATGTCAACTGTAAGGCACCTGGGATAGGAATGTTTTCACAATTCCATGTGAATTCTTGGGTAAAAGGCATCAGCACAACAGAACGTAGAAAAGGAGTGTCTATGAGGAGGACAGAGGGGAAGGAAGAGTGAAAAAAAGAGGAGAGTATTTGGAGAGAGAGAACTGCACATGCAGAAGAAAACCAAGCAGACGTGGGTTTGTGTGTTCATGAGAGGGTTGCTGGAGGAAGGACAAAGTGGCTTGGCAAAAGCTGTCTGCAAGTCGTCTCTTTCCTGAGTTTTTGAGATATGGCCTCACTGTGTAGTCTGGGTGGGCATGATGTTTGAGATCCTCCTGCCTCAATGCCCAGGGTGCTGAGAGGACTGGCAGATGTCCACCTCTGGGCCCAGATTTGCATGTCAACAACCCTTCTGGGTGGAAAGAGTGGAGTAGAGGGAGGAGGCAGCCCATGCTGAGGGCTGGGAGAAGCCTGTTCTGACTGGGGCTAGAGACCAGGCTTTGGAGTTGAGCTCCTCGCTCTGAACTGTTCTGAATCTGTACCAGGAGAAGGATTTTAACTGCTCCTGGAACTGAACAAAGGATTCTGCGAAGGAGCAGTGAAGCAATGGGTACAAACACCTTAGAAGAACTGCCAGACCAAGATGTATACACAAGGATCCCATGGGGCTCGGATGCCCTGTCTGTGGCTAGCCTAGACAGCCTGTGCCTCCAGCCCTGCTAATGATGCTGTGAGAGGGAACATCCACATCCTTGCAGCACTCCTGTTTCCCTTGACCTTTTCAGATGCAATTAAAACACAGTTTTCTCATCCTGTGCAATGATAAACATCATTACGTGGTACCCAGTACTGCTGGGTTGGGGTTAACGGGCTTTGATTGTGATCTACAGATTGTGGGTCTTGACTTTCCCTGACTATACTGCAAAGACACTCCATTCTAGTTAAAAAAAAAAAAACATACTGAGGAGAGGACTAGTAACTGCGATGAAAATAATGGTGCTTTACCGTAAATCATAAAGATTATGAGAAATAATTCATATTTTCATTCTGAAGGGAAAGCCGAGAATACACTGTGTTTTCTAGGAAGGGGGTACTTAGACCGGCACTCTGCTGTGGTGCAGAAGGAAAGTGTTTATTATATCTGTTTCTAACAAAAATGAAGTAGGGCTCCACGGTCAGATGAGCTTTTGGGGTTCATATGTCAACTCTCCAAGTTATTATCTTCCTGGAACTGCAGGGAGAGTTAAACAAAAGATTCCAAGAACGTGCAAAGCCCCACATGACAAGTTTACATCTTTCTTTTGAGACAAGGTCTTCTTATGTAACTAAAGTTGGCTTTCAACGGTGTGTCCCAGTCTGGCTTCAAATGTGCGATCCCCCTGCCTCCGCTGGAAGCATGTCCACAGCAAAGCCTGACACTTCTCCACTGTTCCTGTCTTGCTCGAACAGGATTTTACTGTGTGGTCTCTGGAGCCCTAAGGATAGAGGATGATAGCTCTCAGAAGTGTGGGAAAGGACTGGCCATTGACTGAGCCTTGAAACATACTGGAGGTGGTGGTTTAAGGACAACCCGCTAGCTATATGGATGGGACCTTTTGAACAGGCAGGGAAGTGGCTGATGAGGTAGTTGGTTTCTGCCCAGTGGTAATTTAACAAGAAGTCGGCGAGGCCCATGTGCTCTGTGGCTGCAGCTGAGGGAAGGGCACCTGTGCTAGGCTGCAAGGAAGAACCTGGGAACACTGCAGCGAACCTGTATTTTGGCCAAGGCTGTGGGTAATTCTGATGTGAGTAGCTCATGAGCCACACATGTCATTCTGATAAATCACGTGGAGTGTCATTAAAATGAAGCTTCACACTTAGAATCTCGTATAGGGCCAACATCTAGATCGAATTTCTAAGAAGTTCCCAGGGAACATATGCAGCTACCTTGGGGACTGCATTGGGAAGGAAGTCTATGTGGAGATGGGAGAGGAAGATGTAGGTACCCAAGAAAAAAAGAGAAGTGTGCTGTTCAACAGTCAGGCCATTTGTGTTCTCAATAAATACAAATGCCTCCCTAAGAGAGCAGAGAGCAAACTGAACACACACGCACGTGTGCGCACACACACACCCACACATATCAGTGGAAAACAGAGAGAGCTTAATTGCAGGTCATACGCACAGAATTAAATGGCATTAACTACAATTAGCAAAGAAATTCTGTAGCTTTTAGAGAATCAACATCAACCACCATGGTAATAAAATGAAAGAGAAAAATTCACACACACATTATGTTCTTCATGTCATGACATATATTCCTAAACATATTAAACTATCCTCATAGCATCTGCCAAAGAAGCCAGTCTCCTTACAAAGAACATACCCCATAGCATGGGGTAAAACCCTACAAAATAAACTAAAGCCAACGTCCTTTTCGGACCTTGTCAAAATCTCAGTTCGTGGTGAGGTCGAGCTTGGAAGTCACTTCGATTCAATTCAATATAAGATTTTTTCTTTGAAAATGCTAAATCACACATCAAGCGGGACCTTATAAAACTAACGTTCTCTCTGTCCCTCCCTTCTTCTCACCCTCCCTCTTCTCCCCCTTCTTGTTGCTGTTGTTGTTGTTGGTGGTGGTGGTGGTGGGTGAGTGTACAGTGAGGAGCCTGTGCGCTACACAGTGGCTATGTGGAGATCGGAAGTCAATTCTGCACAGCTGGTTCTCTCCCAGAACCTTCTGTAGGTTGTGAGACTGAACTCCGGTTGCCAGGCTTCCAGAGCCCACACCTTCATTCACTGAGCCATCTTGCTGACAGGGAGTGGGGGCCCTTTTAAATCAGGGGTTCTAATTCAGAAAGTGGGGAACAGCTCTGGGGGATTCTCGATAGCAGGCAAGTGAGGGTAGAAAGTAGCTAAGTGCAGCATCCCCCGTTATCAATGGGTAGGTGATTTTGAATGTTTGAAGAGAAAAATAGTAAGATCTGTGAACTTCTCTCCACCCCACACAAGCATATTTTTTGATAGTGTGGACCAAATTAGCAGGGAGCAGCTCTGAGCCTGGGCCTTGCACACACGGCACAGAGGAGCCTGAGGTGGTTTACCAGAGAGGGAAAGCAGGCCTGTGATGTGTGTAGGGTGTGGTGTTAGGTCACTGTGTTCAGGATTCTGAGGGTTGCTCTACTTTGGGTGACAAAGAAAGAGCTAGGCCATGAGGAGCAAGATTGAATTAGGTGAGAAGACCCACCGTCAAATATAGGGGTCTACCCACTGAGGAAGTCCACTGCTTTCCTTGGGTGCATAGTATTCCTCCTGGGAAAACCTGGGATTGAGCTACTTGGCTACATGGAGATGAAGGACGCCCCGTCAAACAACTTCCTCTCATATCAGAAGCCAGCACTTCTGTCGTGTGCTGCCATTACATTATCACACTTGTGTCCTGGGAAGGTCATTTTCCTGTTTTCTTTCACCATGTGTGAATTACACATAACTTGCAACAGGTACATTCATTTACCTAGAAAGTGCAGCACCCTGGCACTATAGCCTCTTTCTTTTTGTGCACAGTGTAGGAATTAGGTTTGATGCACAGTTTTGGATCTCCGAACAACTGGAGTGGAGGATTGCCAAGCACATCCTGGGGTTGGGGATCACAAGCCACATCAGATCAAACTCTGGCTGACAGTTGAGCTCTGGTTATCTTGATTCCATGTTTTGGGGGTTTCTGGTGTGTGTGTGTGTGTGTGTGTGTGTGTGTGTGTGTGTGTGTGTGTATGCACGCGTGTGCACGTTGCACATCCACGAGCATGTATGCATTGTTGATTCAGAGCCTACATTCTGAAGCCAGGCTAGCTTGGTTGGAATCTCACCTCAGTTGCCCAGCCTTGGGCAAGCTAAATACTCACTTGAGATTTAGTTTCTATACCTGTAAGATAAGGGTCACCCTACTGTTCCTTAGGTCAACACTAGGGTTTATAGTAAGGGCTGCATGAGCATGTAACATATTAGTAATAGTGCTTGGTTCCTAATATATGTTCAGTAAATTTAAGTTTCCCTATGACAGTGATGGTCGTACATGTGATCTCTCTGTCTACCTCAAGGGAGAGTCTATGTAGCGGGTGAGACTGCAAACCGAACTGCATTTCTCGATTTTGTCTCCTTTAAGTAGACACACTCCTTGAAGAAAATAACACTACCGAAAGCCCATTATTAAAGAAAACAAAAGCCAGGCACTGCCAGCAAGTCTGAAAACTGTTATGCCTGAACAAAAAGTGGCTAGGCATTGTTGGAACCCAAGGAAAAATGACAAAGTCCCTTGCAAATCTGAGCTGTTGCTGCAAACCAGGTGTTAAATGCAGTCACTGCAGGGGTGAGGAGAAATAGCAAGAAATGGAATAAATTCTTTTCTCATCCATGCCTCCTCGGGAGTGTGAAGAAAATCATGTATAGAGATTTTATCATTCACAGGATGAGATGCTTGCAATGAAACAACGTAGGGCAGTAAATGGTGCACGGTCCTGAGAACAAACTAGAAACAGATACTGAGAAAACTGATCACTACAAACTAAGGTTTGAAGAAGAGTGTATGGTGTTCCACCACCAGATACAGGCAGAGGGAACTGGACTTGTAAGGCAATAAAATTAAAGAGATTTGTAGCAGGAGGAGTTGTTGAAGGAAGGCTTTAAGAATCTCTGCACAGTGGTGGTGCACACCTATACACCCAGCACTAGGGAGGCAGTGGCAGGAGGAGGATCCCTGTGAGTTCAAGGCCAGCCTGGCCTAAAAAAAAAAAAAAAAAAAAAAAAAAAAAAAGAATGGCCCACTGCATTCCAAGTCAGTAATAGACCATCAGTGCAAAGACAATGTACTCTACCGCACTGTAAAGAGAAGTCCTTAAAATCGTCCTATGGCGTGAAGGTAGACCCCACAAGCCCAGAGGCTAGCTCAGAGCTACTAAGATTTAAATCAACAGTTCTTCCTTGGTAGACCAAAACTTGTCATTTACTGCACAACACCATTGAAGGACACCACCGATGAGAGCAAAGCATTCGACCTCGGGTGGAAAATTGCTAAAGAGGCCTCGTTAGGGAAGACGGCTCACTGAATGCTCCAGATACTTACGAATCCACGTGGTTCTCAAAGGACAGGAGGATGGGGAAAGGTGACGTCTTGAATGCACACTCTGCGATGGCTTCTATGACTTCCTAAGAGAAGAACACACATATATATTCAACACTGAGCAACGTGCGTGCATTTTTTTTTCTTGGCATTAAATCCATTAGCATGTTGCGGAGGGGTGTTTGTTTCAGCCTTCGTGTGTGTCCGGTTTGTTTCCATCGCTGTTTGTTTATAGCAGTTCTGGGGTTAAAACCAGGCCCTCACGAATGCTAGGCAAGGGTTTTACTACTGACCCACATGCCCAGCTCAAATAGCTGTCTTTAAAAAAAAAGAATTATATCAAAAGGCTGGGAATGACTGGAATGGGCTGTGTAGTTCTGAATTTTGGTTCTGTATGGTTAAAAAAGAAAGAAGTGGGCTTTGGTGGAGGGGCAGATAGGGAAATAGTTCTATTTGCTGATTGTAGCTTCCACTTTTTTGTAATGAAACCGTTATTTAGTCATGTCAGGAAAAACTTTACAATATGATAAGACAAAAATTTTTACCCATAAATTGACTTTCTGAACCAAACTGCTATGAGCACTTAATTATATTTGCTTCTGGTCTATTTTTTCATGCATTTGTGTGACTTTGTTTTGATAATAGTTTTGATAATCTATATTTTTATAAATATTGTTATTAAGAGATAAATAAAAGGATAGGAGTGTAGCCTGGTGGCAGGGTATCTGCCTGGAGTTGGCAAGATCCTGGTTTTGATAGTCTGCGTCAAAACCAAATAAACAGCAAACAAAATGGAGACCGACCTTGCGTTCATGACGAGAGTGTCTAAAGCATCCCAAGTTGCATAATTGCCAACAGAGACTACCTCCATTCTTTCGTCCTCCCCAACTACAGCCCCGCTAGCAGTTGCCTGTTTTCTCCAAGCCCTACCTCACACTCTTACTCTCAGTAATCGGCTCTAAAACCTGAATCCTTGTCTTCTTAGTTCTGTTCTCCCAAACATTTCAGATACATGCAGCTGTGGAATATATGGCTTTGGGGGTTGGGCACTTTTCAGATGGTGTGTTTTCAAAGGTCATGTGTGTTCTAACATGTAGCAGTACTTCACGTTTCCTTTTATACTTGTTTTAAATGTTTATGTCAGGCTGGAGTTGGAGCCCAGTGGTAGGATACTTGGTACCTTAGGTTTTACACCCAGCAATGAAAATAGATTATATGTCATGAGCTTCAGTAACTGCACAGAATTCTAGAAAGATGGAGGTACCACGACTGACTTCACTAGTCATCAATTGTTGGATGGGTACATTCTTCTAGGAATAGACTCTTGAAGGAAGAAAACCTGAGTTGAATAATAGGGACTCAGTCATAGTCTCTCACAGGTTTCCAAATTATTTTTCATTATAAACTGTCTACAGTAATGAACAAAGGATCAGATTGCAAAGCATATTCAACACTGGGCATTTGAGCACTATTTTTCCAAAGTGATTTTTTTTTACTTAACTGATATTGACATACAATCTCATTTACTTATTTATTTATGAGATTTTTTTTATTTTATGTGTGTGAAAATTTTTGTCTGCATCTGTGCCTGCGTACCTTGTGCATGCAGTGCCCATAGAGAACAGAAGAGGGCAGCAAACCCCCCTTGGAACTGGAGATATAGACCCTTGCCATCTATATCTGTGGGCTCTGGGAATCAAACCCACATCCTCTGGAAGAACAATCAATGCTTTTAACCACTGAGCCATCTCCCCAACCCCTTCTTTATTAAGTGTTCCACCATCCATACTATTTAAACATCACACTCCCATACACAGAATTTATTTACATTGACTCTTGGCACGTTCTCCTGTCCAGTTGTAACTTCGGTTCTCATTCTGCACACTGAAGCCTTTCCCACGGACTCCTCTACCTTTCCTGTGTGATGCAAAGCTTTCTTTATAAACACACCATTAAGCTACTTCTTTTGCCCCGGAGTATAAATGAGGCATTCTAATTCTGGGCTGCATTTGCATATATCTTCTAAGAATGATGTGCTTGCACAGAGCAAGAACCACGCTTACTGTTTCTTGGAAGTGAACTCACAGATTGCCTTTCATACATAATCAATTTAACTTTTTATCACAGCCGAGTCCATCAAAATAAGTGCACTATAAAAAGCAAGTGATGTCAGGAGGTAACATTTTTTCTGTCATACATTTGCACACAGGCTGTGGATGCAAACAGGCTCCTAACCAAGTCAGGCTGGTGCTGGCTATCACACAGGCATGGGCTTCTGGCACCTTCTTAGTGGGCATGGACCAAGCAGGCAGGACACTGAAACTTCCCTCACCAGGCTTACAGGGGATTTAATTCTACTCTCAGCCCTCAGTCTGGGTGAATAATAATTCCTATGGATTCTTATTCCATACACTACAGTCTTGGTAAATAAGGATCCCCATGGATTCTTATTCCATACATGACAACCTTTATCTTTGCAAAGAGAAAATGCAAGCTTGGCTTTCTGAATTCTAGTTAAGATGCCAGTGACTCACATCTGCAGGGTTCTTCCCGTATGCTGGGCAGGTCATGACCTGCATTTCTGTTTACAGTGAACCCAGGAGGAGTGTATCCCTACCACCGGTTTGCTGAGAAGGAAGGAGGCATGAACTGGTGGGAAGATTTCCCAAGATCTTGCTGCCAGCAGAGCCAGAGCTGGTCCTGGAGCCCATCGTTGGCCCGACAGCTGGTGAGCAACACCCTAACACCTGTTCTCCTTCTCACCCATCCTCCTCCCTCCTCTCTCTGCCCAGTTCTCCTCCACCTCTATGATATTTTTATCTACTGCTTAAAACACTCTTTCAAATGCTCATATCAAACACGACTTTACTGAACTTTGTCTAATATTTCAAGTTGGTCACAACTGAAAACTCTCTAAGTCCTCTTAGGGGACTCCTGGTCCTTTTAAGATTTCAAAGTATTTTGTAAGGGTCAGAAAACTAGCAACGGCTTTTAAAGCTTCATTCTTTCATACATGCTACATTAGTGGCATGGGTGTTAAAGACCTTTCTTGTACCATTGCTTCCTGTTCCTCCAAGACTTCCGAAGCTGTGTTCGGTAACCTATTGTCTTAGTTAGGGTTTCTATTGCTGTGAAGAGACATCATAATCATAGCGACTCTTATAAAGAAAACATTTAACTGTGGTAGTTCGCTTACAGTCCAGATGTCCAGTCCCTTATCATCATGGCAGGACACGGCAGCAAGCAGATAGACATGGTGCTGAAGAGGGACCTGCTGTAGGTTGATATGCAGGCAACAAGAAGTAGACTGTCTCACTGGGTGTGGTCTGAGCATAGGTGAGACCTCGGAGCCCAACTCCACAGTGACACAGTTCCTCCAACAAGACCACACCTACTCCAACAAAGCCACACGGTCCCAATAGTGCCATTCCTTTTGGGGGTCATTTTCTTTGAAACCACCACACCTACTGAACACACAGATCAGTAACTAACTTGCAGTGGGAAAACCTCCCTTGGACACCATTGCCCTTGACAGACAGGAGCAGTGAGAATTTAGACAGGCAGACATTTGTGGAGCCATATACAATTATACCCTAAATTATTTCCGAAAACGAAGCCTTAGTTTTAGAAGTGCTTGGGTTGATCATTTCACCCACTTCCTTGACGTGCCTTTCTCCATTTTGCTCCATATGATATGGTTGAATAAATGTAGCTGCCTGAGTGGAGAGAAGTCCAGGGACAGAGTGGGAAGTGTGGTGTGCCTCCTATGTAAAGAGGTCAGAGGCCGAGTGTGAATGGGGAGAGGGAGACAGGAAGGTGAATTTCGAGGACAGCCATCAGAAAGACCAGGACAGGTGGCATAAAAACAGGAACAAAGTTGTTGGGGAGAAGGAGCAGAGCCAGGCCACAACTTCAAGGCTGGCAGAAAGAGGCTGACTTACAGCATCCTCCTTCTCCCTAGAGTGTAACATGTTGTTTTTGTCCATACAATGAGCTGGTATCATATATCAACAGGAACCTTTGCTGTGTGAGCTCCATCACGTGGCAGTGCTCGGGAACACATAAACTCAGGGCAGATAAATGCTGATACCCAAGTGACAAGCTCTGCACATATGCTGCTGCGGTGTGCACTCAACTGTCAGGTGCAGTCCAGTCTCTCCGGGGAAGTCAGTTCCAAAGGCACAGGGAACGGTGGAGGGGACATTCGCTGCCCACCAACATGCTATCCGTGGAATTTCACACGAGACAGCAGAGAAGGAGATTTCACTTACGTAATGGACAGAGGAAAGGTGATGGGCATGAAAGGGGGCTGCCCTTTGATTGGTCTAGGATGGCAGAACTCCAGATCTGTATTGATCACCGCCTCTGTGTCAAGTTTAATCCAATGCACTGTAGGGAGATGGGCTTGGCTCACAGAATGAAGGACCCTGCCTTTGTGGGGATTACGTAAACAAGAGACACAGTGATGAAGTTAAGCCAATTGTCGCAAGGTGGCTGGATACCACATGGAAATTTAAAAATACAGAGTGAAGAGGGTATGAGAATTTCATTCTGAATGGTGCAGGGTCACCCCTAGTAGTAGTATGAAATAGAGATGCCCTAGAAGTCATTACTGGAGTGACATTTGAGAGCACTTCAAAGAAGTAAGCCAGGAACTTCAGGACAACCTATGCGGTGACACAGCCTGCCCGGTAGGGTCAGGGAACAGCAAGGAGGCTCATAAAGTCCTTGTTACAGCGTGAGTTGAGGGAATGACACAGTTAAGTGGCAAGGATCAATTTGAGGAGGAGACAATGGAGAGCGGAAGGCCCCATCCCTTGTTCCTCATCTCGCCATTACAAAGTTGTCTTACTCATGGGCTCTGGGAATGCACACTACCATTGTGCAGAGCAGGGACTGAATTTGTCTGAGGGAAGAGGGGTCTCTAAGTGCCAGACTTAGGAGCCATTTACATAAGTCCTGTACAGCACTTGAGGGGCTCTTAGTGAAGGGCCTGAATCTGATATCCTCAGCTCCTTCCTCACCTGGCTCCTGGAGGAAAAAAAAAAAAAAACAATTCTGCTATTGAAATTTTCTACAATTCAGGCTAGCATTTCCACTCCCTGCCCCAGCTCCCCCATTCATGTCTTCCCAAATTGCATGAGCAAGAGCGTGGGTGTAGGGGTCTGGAGGGTCTACCTGGGCCCTCTCTGGCCACCCTGTATCCACCAGCAGGCAAAGGGATATAGTCCTCTGGGATGGCTGATACCCTTAAGCCTCTAAAGCTGACAACATTTGGGCATGGTCGGGAAGCCGGCTGTAGGAGTGCAGGCAGGGACACTCAGCAAGAAAGACCAGAAGTTCACGGGTGTGATGGAAGAACCACTCATACGTCAAGTGCCCAGGAAGAGCCAGTCACTCCACGTGATCCCGGCAGCTAAAACTGGGAAGCCAAGACGCTGACCAAAAGAAATAAGCCACAGAATGGGCTAGATGTTTATTCTGTTCCCAGGATCTCAAAACATTGTGTAGATTAAACCTTAAGAAAGCAGTATTGCAACCCACAAGGGACTCTAAGGAGTAGAAGTGGGCATAGATAGGGTGGTGGGTGAGTCTTCCAGCAGCTCAAGGGTAGTTCCAGGTCGTCCCCACTACTCCCAAGGCTAGGACCCTCTCCACCATCACCACTGGGGGAAGCTCTGGCATGGTGGTTATTCCCATCTCTCTGTGATGTAGGGGAGTCTTCTATCTATCTGTTGCTTTCATTAGTAAATTGAAAAAGAAAACTGCCTGGCCTGATAGGTCAGAACATAGGTAGGCAGGGAAGACATAACTGAATTGTGGGAGAAAGAAGCAGAGTCAGAGAACCGCCCGCCATGAAGCTGCCAGGTCAGACATGCTGAATCTTTCCCGGTAAGCCAAGACCTCGTGGTGACATACAGATTATTAGAAATGGGTTGAATCAATATGCGAGAGTTAGCCAATAAGAGGCTGGAGGTAATGGGACAGGCAGTGTTTAAAAGTATACACTTTCCGTGTAATTATTTTGGGTATAGCTAGCCGGGCGCGTCAGCGGGAAGTGGCCCTCCGTTCTTTCTACATCTCTGGCTGGCTCTGGTCCTCACTTTTTCTTGCAGAGCCCAATTACATGAGACTGGAACTAAACAGGGGCTAACTTACTGGGTGAGCAGGCACATGTCTGGAATGCTACATTCTAGAAACACAAGCAGAGGCACAAGCTGGGGTTCAGCACCAGCTTAGGCTGCACAGATCCTGTCTTTAAAACAACACCATATTCCACAGAGAGAGTATCCTACACACATTGGTAATGACATTGATGGCACAGAACACTGTTAGTGCCCAGCCCAGGAGCTTAGACCAGAAAAATTCATTTCTCTGATTAGAATTTGGCCTGGCCTGAAAACCCTGTCTCTTGTTTGCTATTCCACATGTTTTATTTAGCTGTATCCAAAGTACCAAGGGTTAAGACTAATTTCCCTACCTTTCAATCTTCTTTTAAAAAAAAAAAAAACACTTTCCCCAAGACAGCTGAATCCCTTTTTATCTTTCCTCGAGTCTTCCATGGCACAGAAAAGACTAAGAAAGTGTGGTTCACTGTCTTTTTGATCCAAGGCTTTGCTTCCATTTCCAGTGATACTGATGTTTCGCTAACTCCATATGTAACATTCCCCTCTCATTTTCAGTGACCTTGTACCCATCATCTCAGTAACCCACACACTGGTGCTGCATTCTTTTGTCTAATTAGGGCAAGAGCTTATGCTTGAGCTACTTCTGACCAGAGACATAGGCAACCCTGGTCACTGGGCCATGCCTAGAGTCACAGGTAACCCAGATCCCAGGGCCTCACCTAGAGACACAGGTAACCCAGGTCCCAGGGTCTAATTTAGAGACACAGGTAACCCAGGTCCTAAGGCCTTGCCTAGAGACACAGGTAACCCAGGTCACAGGTCCAGGCCTAGAGACACTGGTAACCCAGGTCCCATACCTTGCTTAGAAACACAATTCTTATTTTCCAGTTCCTCTTGCTTGATTTTTCTCTGAAGTGGTGAGAACTCCATGTCAGCACAGACAACATGACTTACAAAGACACAATCATAGGATTACTTCTGCTTCCAACAACAGCCAGTCTACCACAGGACAACCCAGCTTCCTTCAAATCCTGTTCCAAATCACCCACCCAATCAAAATCTGTACTGTCAGCTCTCCATAACAAATATTAAGTAAGACACTACAGTTTCCCATGACATAAACCTGCTCCATTCACGAGCAAAAAAAAAAATACACTTATTTGCCAGGCGGTGGTGGTGCACACCTTTAATTTCAGCACTTGGGAGGCAGAGGTAGGCGGATCTCTGAGTTCGAGGCCAGCCTAGTGTACAAGAGCTAGTTCCAGGACAGGCCCCAAAGCTACAGAGAAACCCTGTCTCAAAAGACCATATATAAATAGTTAGATAAATAAATAAATAAGTACACTTATTACTAGTCACTCACCATCAGAGGTTTCTGGCTGACAGACACCCAGTTTTAATCCTAGCGTCATAGATTAGGACATTTCCATGCTGCACATTTTGCCTCTAAAACTCTGAAATCCCAAATGCTTTGAAACCAGAAGGTTTATCACAAATATTATGTACAAAAAAAAAGAAAGAAAGAAAGAAAAATATATTGTGTACAAAAAGTTTGGATCTGGGGATATTTTGGATATTTATTTGATATTTTCTTTCCTAAGTCAGTAACTTGATAATTTGGTTAGTAAGATAAACTGCTGCGTTTTGGCTTCTGAATTTAAACACAGAGATCATTCAAAGCCTGTGAGCGTCATCGGAATACCCAGACATTATCTGAGAAAGCTTTACTCCCCTCCCCCATAGGGCCAGGTCTCCAAGCTGCCTTTTGGAAACTTGGTTCACTCTACCTTGAAGGATATTTCTGTTGTCATGGTGAATCCATGGGTGATGACGGGCTCTTCCTCTGCGGTCCTTCCCTTCCAGCAGTCCAGCTCCACACAGCGACATCCAGACAGGAGCACCTGGCGATACATCTCTACAGAGGAGTTCCCAGCCAACTGGCCAGCTGCAAAACAAACCCCAGAATCCTCTGAGTCAAGGAAAGCATGGGATGTGGTGGGCTTCATCAACAGCTCTTTTGGCGAACAAAGCACTGGAGTCGCCCAGGTGGCATCAGGGCTCCCTAGTGTGGGTTGGGAGGAGAAGAGAGGACAGGAGAGGGCAGAGAGGAGTGGAGAAAGGTGTTGTCATAGTAAATGACACATACTGATTATCTGCTTACTGGGAGCCAACGACTCCAAATTTATTGGTTTGCAACCAACAGTTAGTCTTGAAAAAAAAAAATCGACTGTCTGGTATAACTATTTTATAAGAAACAAGAATTCACTCCAGGTAATGAAAGGGGCACAGAGCAGTTGAGTTTCCCAAGTTTCCCTGGGGAATACATAGACACACACACACACACACACAGCCTTGTTCATGGAAGATACTTAGTAAGTGAAGATGGTAGGACTCCCTAAATTGGTGAACAGTTTTAATTCATATTAAATCCAACAGAAATTTGACTGCAGAAATTGATATTCTGACCCAAACATCACATGGCAATATTGGTAGTGGTGGTGGGGCTTAATTAGCCAATGTAATCTTGAAAAATATAAACAAAAAATCACACTTTCCAATTTTAGAACTTACTACCAAGTTATAGTAATCAAGACAATATGACAACATTATAGAAAGAGTACACAGGTAAACACAAAAGAAATGAACGCTTAAAAATAAACCTTCAGTTCATCACTCACTGACTTTCAACAATGTAGTCAGTAAAACTCAGTACAGAGAAATCAGTGTGTTCAATGAGTCGACCTGGGGCAATAGGACAGTCACATGCCAAAACAAACAAACAAACTGGATCCCTATTTCACACCACATTGAATAAATTAATGCCAAATTGATCAAGTCCTGAATGTAAGAGCTAAAAATACGAAGGTCGTAGAAGAAACACAGGAAGCTCCAACGATTGTGTTGTGTGTAGCCAACACCAACAGTGTAAGCATCAAAACGGATACGAGGAAAACTTGATTAAATTGATATTTGTGAGCAGAGCCAAAGGAACCTAGTGAAGCTGCTGCGTAGTTAGATAGGAGTGAGCAGTCTCCACCAGCATCCTCATAATTAGTTTTGAGCGTGACCTTCCATGTCCTTGTTAAACACAATGATTCTGAGGGAGGGGGAAGGATGACAACAAATTCCCTCTGGATCTGAAATACCATGCGGAAGAAGGAGAAAACGCCACAACTGCCCCTTGGCACTTTAAGATACCACATTAAATAATAACTACAGGTCAGACAAAAGGAGGAAGAAGGAGGTAGCAGCTTTTGTGAAGGCACTTTGAGGTGGGGCTATTTCCTCCTAGTAAAATATCTGTTTGCATATTTGTACTTTTTGTTTTTCCTTTCTTTAGTTTTTTTTTTTTAAAGTATGCTCTAGTATGTGATTCTCCAATGAATTATAAAGCTTTCTGAACCGCCCAAATTATCATAGGACTACTATGTGGTCAGAGGCTTTCCAGAAGAAAGACATACCTAGTCTCTTCCTTCAGAATGAACCCAAGGGGCCATGTCAATCACCTGGGCAGAAAACACCCCTAAGGCAAGCTGTTTCTTCCATAGATTTTAGAAAGCAATACAAAATACACCTAAAACTGGAGATTGGAACCTGGGTCAGTATGACTAACTACTGTCTTCTCTGCAGGAGAGTGCTTCCTTCTCCCTTTCTTCTTCACCTTGCAATAAGCTCCACCCATCCTCCATATTGTTTTCTGAGTGTCTTTCGAGTCTGAATTCTTTTGGCAAAGGTCACCTGGTTTGGGGATCTGAAGGGAGCTGGTGAGATCAGAGTGTGTTCCATTCTATGTTTACCGCATACTGATTGTATAAAACGTTGGCTTCAGGTTGTCTCGTTCTGAAACACTCCGTTTACAAACAGCCTTCGACTCCAGTTTGAGGACAGACGCAGAGGAAGAATGGCTCTGTATCTTGACTGGCACATGGCTACCACCATGCATCCAACTTCATGAAGCATAGCATAATATGCAGCTTATTCTTGACTGTGAAAAGGGTGCTCCCCTATGAATTTATTACCATGAATCGGGACCTATAAGCAGATGTGTGTATCAAATCTATAACAGTAAAACCAGGTACCAGGATCAAATGAACACACAAGACTGAGAAAAGAATACAAGACTTGGGCCTTATCAAAAGAAGGACACCCAACACCATTATGACAGTAACCCTTGCGGTGGAACAATCTTTTCGAACACTGTGAAGATGTGTTGCTCTCATTGGTTTAATAAAGAGCTCAATGGTCAATACCTAGGCAGGAAGAGGTTAGGTGGCACTTGAGGGATAGGGAGAAAGCACTGGGATGAAGAAGGGCAAAATCCCCAGTCAGATGCAGAGGAGTCAGGATGCATACAAGATGAGGTAACCAGTCACGAGTCACATAGCAGCATGCAAATAGAAATGGGTTAATTTAAGTTATAAGAGCTAGATAGAGACAAGTCTAGTCTATCAGCCAAGCTTTTATAATCAATAACAAGCCTCTGTGTGGTTATTCGGGAGCTGGCCGATGGGACAGAATATTTTGCCTATGGACCCTGCTGACCTGACTTGGTGTATGCTCCAGGCACAGACTGGCAGAGAACACTAAACTCTCTCAGGGGCTTCAACTTGGCTCAGTCTCCCAAGGCTGAGGCAGCCTATCTGACTTGACATCTACCCATTCATATGGACTGGGTCCTGTACTTTATCACCATGGCCTCCATGGTCCTGCATCTCACCTGTGCAGCTGGACTAACCTGGGTTCCCTCTGACTCTATGCTTGACTCTACATCAGCACCTCTGGCACACCTCCAGTAGGGTTTGCTACCTAACACCCATATAGACTCTCTTTGCATTTCTATCAGCCTCCTGCTTCTGCCTCTTAATAAGGTCCTCTGAATGCCTTGAACTCTACTGAGGCCTCTTCACGCCCATGTGGTCATTCTGTAGCCTCCATTTACACATGAGCACAGATAGATTGACTGCGGAAAAGGTAGTATATGACCTGAGAGCTAGTATCAGTAGCCAAGGCTGGGATAAGGCGTGCTGATGGTCAGTGTCCAGCCATCACAGCAAATTCAAACTACTTGGCAACTTGCAGCCAACAAAACTCATGTAGCTTGCGAACTGACTGTGATTCAAAAATTTTGAGCACTGTGGAAAATACAAACATGACTGTCTATGTTTCTGAGGAAAGAGACTCATGACAGAAAGCCTGAGTGAGATCTCTTGTCACAAAGTTATGAAATTATGATAAAGCTATGGCACTGATAGACAGTGGACAGATGGACAAGTACTTCTTTTCTCATTTAAGAAGTAAAGGAAAGTCACTAACCTGAAAGATATTTATTTATCCATTTACTTAATGTCGACGTGTAAGCACTGCACCACAAACGGCGAAGCTGCAGAGGGTAGAAGGTGCTACCCAACCCCTGAACTAGAGTTATATTGGTGGATTATGAGTTGCCATGCATGTGCTGGGACCTGAACCCAGTCCTCTATAAGACAAGTAAGTGCTCTTAACCTTGGAACCCTTTCTCTAGTCCTGACAGCCTATCAAGTCACTGAGGACTTGATAGAATTGTTTTTAAAAGATTAATAATAGATACATTTCGGAACAAGTCTTTTATCAAACAGACAAATTGAAGTTTCTTTGATCAATACATCACAAACTTATATGTTTTATTTATTTATTTTTATTTATTTGGAGTCACAGTCTCGCCCTGTAGTCTAGGCCAGCCTCACATTAAAATCCCTCCTGCCTCTCCCTCCTTAGCAGTGGGCTTGCAGACATGTTTTCTCTCCTTTGCTCTTTTGGATCTGTTTTTATATAGCCAATTGAAAGATGACTTGTGGAATAAAAACTGCCAAAATGACTTTGAAATGGACAACATCTGCCCTGTGGAGACACACAGGGGAAAGGAAATGGGATTAGGCCAACTGGCTTAATTTTATTTTATATGCATGGCACAATACCCGACCATCAGCATAACAAAGGACGGTGCTCCTCAGTGCTATACAGCTCTAGCAAAGGCACTGAAAGGCTGGTTAAGTACATTTGCATAATCACTTTTGCTTTCCTAGAAAAATTAGGGCATTTAAACACACAAATGTCTTTTTGCAAAGACAAAAAAAAAAAAATGCTGACAGAAGAACCTGCAAAACTCCTGATGCTGGATAATCAATTTGCCATTTATGATTGCCTCAAAGTTTATTGTCACTGCAAAACTCTCCCCAGGATGGCTGCATAAAGGAGAAGGGTGGGGGAAGTGAAAATTAACACTGTTGTTATTCGTAAACTTCTGAATTACGGGAAGCAAAGAACTGAAATAATCGTAAGATTAATTCATCCAAAGGTTTGTTCCTGCACAAAACAGCGTTGGTATAAGAGAACAAAGCAGGTCTGTAATGTACTGCTATTGTGATATCTAGGTTCACTGCCAACTTTATAGACTCTAGGCTCACCTGGGGGATGGGCCCCTGGGCACGGCTGTGGGGGATTATCTTCATTCTGTTAACTGAGGTGAGAAGACCCACTCCTACTGTGCATAGCATCTGTGATGGCCATTTTTGGTTGTCAACCTGACTACATCCGGAATTAATTAAAACCCCAAAGTGGCTAGGCACACCTGTGCTTAATTGAATCATGTGGAGTGGGAAGATGCACTTCTAATCTGGATCTTTGAGGCAGAAGACACATCTTTAATCCAGATCTTTTGAGGTAGGAAGACCCACCTCTAAACTGAGCCACACCTTTTGCTGAAGCCTATATAAGGACATGGAAGAGGGAAGCTCTCTCTCTTTGCCAGCCACCCCCTGCCCTGTTCAGAGTCTGTTCCTTCATCGGCATTAGAACCTATTTCGTTGGGTTTCTAGTGTATACTGAAGATCAGCTGACATATCTAGACACGTGAACTGAACAATCAATGGATTCTTGGACCTTCTGTTATAGGCAGTCATTGGGTTA